TAAAAACATTGATAGTGTCAAGCTTCAGAGTTCTGTCTAAGAAAGACAAACAGGATTAGGTTATATCAGTGTTTATTTCTCTCACAACAGGCAGCATGCATGCATCCATGCATGGGAGCCAGTCTGGAACTAAGCTCACTTTGCATTTAGAGTGCACAGTTTATATACTTTCCAGCAGGGACTGATAGCACTCCATCATCATTTCATCCCTAGACAGAGGAAATCAGACCACCCCTGTATTTGGATTATCTAGACAAAAGAATTTGTCTCCATCCAAGCCTGAGCAGAATATAAAGGACTCCTCCACCTCAGATTAAATTACTTGCAAGCTTCGTTGGGGGCTGACCAGGATAAGGAGAATCAATGCAATCTCATTATCAGTAATGTCCTTCTGAAGAAAAACTGAAGTTAAAATCAGGGCTTTGGAAGAAGGGTGCTGGGAGAAGCTCTGATGTTGCTTCCATTGAGCTACTGACTTTGACTCTGTTTCTCTGAAAACATCCATTTGAAGCTGGTCCAAGGATACAACAAAAACCTATGAATGAAACTTGGAAATTGACAATAGGTTTGGACATAATTGTTATTAATATCAAATTATGATCAAAATAAATTAGCTTGCAAATGAAAATTTAGTAGGCCTTCCAAAAATCACACAAAATATTTTTACAAAATATTTCTTTGTAAAAGTATTTCCTTTTCTTAAAAATAGCTTAAAAAAATTTTTTTTGGTTAAAGGGAGTAATCACTAAACTCTCATGAAGTAAATTAGTTGGAAACTTCTAAGATCAGAACTTATCAGTTGGTGTAAAATGTCTTTTTAGTAACATAAACAAATCCCCAAAGTACCATAACAAACTGAATTCCTAATTACCACAAAATTCCTAGTTACCTAGATTCTCTGGTCAAAGAGGTGTTTGTAATGAGGAGGAGATTCAGTTTTTATAAGCCAAGAAGACCATTCCCAGTTAAATTAGCCTTATCACATTAACAAAGTTTACCAGGCATTCAAAAATTTACTCAGTATCTTTTCTTCCCTTTGTCTTTAAATAAGTCACTAGAAATTAAGAAAATAAATACATGCTGGAATCTTACATAGATAGTGAATTTGATAGCTCACAAACCTTCAAATTAACATGCACACACACACATCAACACACAGACGCATACACACACACTCACACACACACACACGCGCGCGCGCGTCCTTAGATAAAGCAGACTTGAAAATCATACCCCTGTTTTGTGCAAAGATTCCCATTTACTCAGTAAGAATTCCACAACTGGGGTCAGCTAGGTGGCTCAGTGGATAGAGCACCGGCCCTGAAGTCAGGAGGACCTGAGTTCAAATCTGGCCTCAGACCAAACACTTGACACTTACTAGCTGTGTGACCCTGGGCAAGTCACTTAACCCCAATTGCCTAAAAAAAAAGAATTCCACAACACAGAAAACTCTTACACAGGGTTGATAAGGATTTATGACTCGATGGTTCCGAAAATCTTTGTAGGTTTACAAAGGAGATTTTACAAGGTATTTTCTTTGTATAATTACCAATTTCCCTTAAAAAAAAAACTACCTTTGTAAATACTTGAGGCTGATAGAATGACCTGACAGCTTCCTAACCCATTGATTTTTTTCTGACAGTACAATTCTTAATCTAACAACATCTAGATTATAAGAGGAACTGCTTATCTAACAACATAGGTGATACAATTGTTTACCAAATTACACGACATAAGAAAATTTAGAAATTTAACAATACCATAAACAATATCATGTATTTAGAACTTAAAACAAAAGCAATTAATTAATAATCAGGTGACCTTAATTTAGTTGAATGCACTTCCAAATTACCTTACACAGAAAATCATTTATCTCATCACCACTGTCATTGTATACTGATTACATCTAAAAACCAATAAAGTTACCAAGTATGAAACAATTACATCTAATTAATAAAGATATAATAAAAACAGTTAACATTTAGAGAGTGTTTGTCCTATGCCAAGCACTGTGCCTAGCACTTTACAATCATGTGATCCTCACAACAACCCTGAACATTCATCCCCAGAGCCAGCTCAGAGAGAAAAATTCAGACTGCACCAAACAGGCAGGAGTCCAATGATAGGAGCAGGGGGTTTAGAAAGGACTTATCACTTACCTACCCCCATCAGGGTCAGAATTTTCAGGAGAATAAGTCCTGGGCACCTAATCCCAGCGTTGTTGGGGGAATCCAGTCTCTACTCCTTTTCCTAATCCAAGTCATGGTACCAAAATGTCAACCTTCAGAGTTGAAGAAAGACAAACAGGATTAGGTCATATCAGTGTTTATTTCTCTCAAAGCAGGCAGCATGCATGCTTCCATGCATGGGAGCCAGTCTGGAACTGAGCTCACTTTGGGTTTAGGGTGCGCCATTTATATACCCTTCCCACAGGGGCTGATATCACTCCATCATCATTTCACCCCTGAACAGAGGAAATACCTCTTTTATCAGACCACCCCTGGATTTGGGGTATCTAGATAAAAGAGTCTGTCTCCACCCAAGCCTGAGCAGAATACAAGGGGCTCCTCCATTTTAGATTAAATTACTTGCAAGTTTGGTTGGGGGCTGACCAGGACAAGGAGAATCAATGCAATCTCATTATCAGTAATATCCTTCTGAAGAAAAACTGAAGTTAAAGTCAGGACTTTGGAAGAAGAGGGCTGAGAGAAGCTCTGAATCTGTAAGACATTGGTTATTAATAATCATTTTTCACAGTAGGTAGCCAATTTATTATTATCCTCATTATTACAAATGGAGAAACTAGATCTCCAAGTTAAATGACTTTCCTCGTGGTCACTTAGCTAGTAAATATCAGAGATATAATATGAACCTAGATCTTTCTCCCTTCATATCAAAGATTGCTGCTGTACCGATACCATACAAATCCGTGAAGCATCTAGATGATGGGAAAACTCCTAACAAATCTAAACTAGACTCTGATTTAGTTTTGATGAGTCTTTGAAAGTTACTTGACAGAGACAGATATTACATTTATATGACACTTTAAAGTGGGCAAAGGGCTTGACAAACATGTCACTTGATATTGTAGAAACACAATCAGGATAACACAAGATTTAGCAGCTTCTACATTAAGGGACTGGAGGGCTTGGAATATAATCTGCTAGAGGTCAAAGGAGGTAGGATTACAACCAAGAATCACCTACCCAGCAAAACTGAGTGTAATCCTTCAGGGGAAAAAATGGATATTCAGTGAAATAGAGGACTTTCAATCATTCTTGATGAAAAGACACGAGCTGAATAGAAAATCTGACTTTCAAATATAAGAATCAAGAGAAGCATGAAAAGGTAAACAGGAAAGAGAAACCATAAGGAACTTATTAAAGTTGAACTGTTTACATTCCTACATGGAAAGATGATATTTGTAACTCATGAGACCTTTGTCAGTATTAGGGTAGTTGGAGGGGAAAAAATTATATGTATATGTATATATACTATATATACATATATAAACATAGAGGGCACAGGGTGAGTTGAAGATGAAGAGGTGATATCTAGAGAATAAAATTAACGAGTGTGAGAGGATTATACTGGGAGAAGGAGAAAGGGAGAGGTAGAATGGGGTAAATTATCTCACATAAAACAGACAAGAAAAGGCTTTTACAGTGGAGGGGAAGTAGGGGAAGGTGAGAGGGAATGAGTGAATCTTATTCTCGTTGGATATAGCTTAAGGAGGGAATAACATACACACTCAATTGGGTATGGAAATCTGTCTTATCCTGTAGGAAAATAGGGGGGAAGGGGATAAAAGAGTGGGATGATAAAAGGGAAGGCAGATTGGGGGAGGGGGTAATCAGAAACAAACACTTCTAAGGAGGGACGTGTGCCAGCCACGCCATGAACTCTTCTCCTAACAGGAGCAGGCTGCCAGGGTCACACCTACCAGTCTTCGGAGCCCACCTGGGTAAACATAGAGACGAGCCGATCAGGAGGTGCAAGCACTCGAACTTTATTCAGAGACCATCACAGCAAGGCCAAGCAGGAAAGCAAGAGCAGGAGCAAGAGAGCAGGAGCAAGAGAGAGAGCTCCGATCCCTACCCCCCTTATATACCTTCCTAGCCCCTCCTCCTCAGTCCGCCTACTAGTGATTGGTTGTAGGATCAGATAACGGAAGGGGATGTCTGGGGTTAGCACTGCACCAAGGGAGACAACGTGACAAAGGAAGCTAGTTCTCTGCCATTCCACTCCCACGTGGCACAGCCCCCTGCCTCAGGAGCACAAGCTCCGGTTACTTCCTAATATCCTGTCCTTGACCCATCTTGCCACAACCCCTACGTGGCACGTAGCCAACATCAGACAATCCCTCATAGGGACAGGGTTAAAAGAGAGAATAGAATAAACA